AAAAGAGGAGTTACATTAGCTAACTTCCAATCTTCTGGTACCTGCCCACAATTCATGGACTGACAAAAAATAGTAGTAAGTTGTTTACATATCCAATCTTTAACCTCCTTCAAAACCCTTGTGGAAATATTATCTGGCCCAGGAGCTTATCGTTTTTTAAACTTCACAATTTTTTCTTAACAAGTTCAGAATTAATGCAGTCATCTTCTTTTATCTTGTTTCCACTTATCAACTGTTCAAGATGTGGAATTGTGCTTAAATCTTCTTTAGTAAAAACTGATTAAAAAGCAAAAATTTAATAACCCAGCCATCTCATAATCATCAGATACTAGCCTTCATTTATCATCCTTCAATGGTCCTACCCTCATTCTAATGTTTTGTTTACACTTACTGTATTCAAAATAAACCTTACTGTTAATTTTTACATTTTCAGCCAACCTTTTCTCATACATCCTTTTTTTATGTTCTAATTTCCTGTTTCACCAACTTTCTTGACATTCTATAAGCTTCAAATTCTCCTGTCATACCAGGCAATTTAAATTTATGATACTTTTCTTTAATTTTATCTCTTAAACTTATTGTGAGCCAACTTGGTTTTTTACTTGCAGCTACCATTTTCTTTCTATAAGAAATATGTTTACCTTGAATATTTAAAAATTTTCCACATCTGATCAGTGTCTCCAAATAACTCAGCTGCCCAATTTACAACAGATAATTCTTGTTGCATCCCTTTGAAATTTGTAACCAAAATATCATTATCTCCATACGCAACAAAACATCAAACATAATAGAGCAGTGATCATTTGCACCTAGAGGTTCCCCAATTTCCAACCTCTCGATCATTTCTTTATCTGAAGTTAAATAAATACAAAATAGCATTGTTTCTAGTAGGTTCCTTGACTAATTGGTGAAGAAAACCATCCTGAACAGTTTCTAAAAACCTTTCTCCCTCATGGTTTGACTGTAGCATTTCCCAATCTATATGCTTGAAATAAAAATCATCCATAATTATGACTTGATTAACAGCTGCAGTCTTATTCACATGGTAAAGTTTTTCACTAATTTCATCAGTATCATTTGGTGATCTATAACAAATCCTCACTAAAAGCTTTTACCCTTTATATCCATTAATAGAAACCCAAATGGATTCAATCTCCTTGCTATTATTATCTTTAATATCTTCCACTTGAACAGAATATAACTCACATTTTACATATAGTCACTCCTACCCTTCTCTTTAGTACTCTATCCCTATTAAATAACCTATAACTTTGTATTTCAAAGAAATTTCTGTCATCAACATCATCTACATTTAATAATGTTTCAGTTATTCCTATTATATCGAAAATCCTCCATCCATCCCAGTGCCCTAAAGTCATCTATTTTATTTCTTATTCTTTTAGCATTACAATAGTAACAATTAAGCCTACCCTTAAAACTACTACTTTACTAATTTCCTGTGCTAAACTTTTCTCTGCCTCTTATTTTTTTTTTGCATTTAGTTTTCCTGGCCCTCAATACTGTCTAGTCCTAGTTTATAACTACCTTTACAGCTGAGTTAATAGCCTTAGCAAACAAGCCAGCCCCTACTCCAACTAGCTCATTTCTTCCACTTAACTGATCCCACAAGTCCAACCAGCTTATCTGCTCATTTGTAGGTACTAACCTAAGCTTAGTATTTAGCCCTAGTGACCTACTTATAACTTCATCCCCACAGTTAATTCTGGGCAGTATCCCTGACAAAATTAAGTTATGGCCTTTTTCTTTAAATGCCTTTATCAACCTTTTGTACTTATTAATTAGTTTCTCTGAACTACCTTTCCCTACATCATTAGCCCCTACGTGCATCACAAAAACTGCATCTCTGCTAGCACCCTTTATTATATCCTCCACCTGTGCCCATGGGTGGCATAATCATGGCAGATTAATTTAATGAGTATTTATGAAAGTTAATTTATCCTAAAATCATGTTGACTTGATG